GGGTCATTCTGCTTGGGAATCACTTTGGCCGCTGTTTTTTCGCATGAGGAAAAGAAGGACTATTCGCTTGGGCTGACGACAGCTTACAGGGTCGTATCTGACGGAATCATAATGTATTGGACGTCATGTTCTATTCGGAGACACACTTGATGCGTCTTGTCACACACATCACCGACGTAGAAAATTGAGCAGAACACATTATCGTGAATGCCTCCTGTCTCGTAAGCTCGTTCAATCCGCACAAATCTTCAAATCTAACATGTTACTCGTGATATAACCTACTGGCCAAGATCTAGAGCACTGCAATTATACCCAAAGTCCTCTTATCTACGTCATCACCGCCGAAGTTTCGATATCGCTGCCTAACCGCCAAGAGTTTATATTCTCGTACACACCGCTGTGTCGTCTCCAAATGAATGCGCGTTGGGATCAATACCCTTACGTCAAGTTGTCATTTCATCCTACACACCGTCACAAAAGAGTCCCAAGCATGATCTTGACATGTCCACAGCACTGTTACACGGACATCGCAAACTGTTCGTCTCGTCACGAACTTCCTACCCTTAGTGCTATATACGGCGACCGAGTCCCTTTTACTATACTTGACATGGAGACAGCATGGATAAAGAAGTAGAACCCGCAGAAATACCCTGCTGTGGTAATCCTGTTATACCCTGCCTTTAACATAGAGTTTCCCAAAACAAGTGCGAAACCCTTCCATAGAACTTCGATCACCCTGTTGGCATCAAACCGTACGCATTTCTTCTTCTGCACACTGTATGTACTAACAAGATGACGCAATTTTCATGGTTCAGTATCGCAATCGAACTATAGGACCACCCTTCCCTGCATACGCGGCTACCACGGCTACCGGCACTTTTCGGAAGCCCATCGCCTGGTTTAGCCTCAACACCACGGCGCACGGTCGGCGCGCTGATACCTGCGCCACAACAAACATCGTCACTGTGGCGCATGATTGTCTCATTCGCTGCCCACTCCAGGAACGAAATCTCGGGAAGCGGTTATTACGGCCTTGTAGACCAATGACATGGATGAGAAATGCGCCGGCGTCCGGCATTCGGTCCTTGTCTGCGTCGTAAGCTGCTTCGAGTTGGTCGCAGGGGCAGAGGGAACAGTTAAAGACATGGAGGGTTCGCCCACTTTTTTCGTTCAGCCACAGATACAGCCACACCTTCAGTCTCTAATCCTACAGCAACCACGAGAGTATCTTCACGAGAAAGAAGCACGGCAACCTACCATACCAACGCGAATTAATCACACACGCACAATGCCATCATCCACAGTACGTTATCCTTCCCAAACATTTCAAGACCCCTCCTAACGATCAAAGTCAACAGTCCTCCTCTACTTCCTCGCAATATGGATCCCCTTCCTCCCCGTGGCCATGAAGCGCGGTTGCGCCGCCGACCTCTTCATCAACATCGCACTCTGCATCCTGGGCTGGATCCCCGGTGTGATCCACGCGTGGTACATAATTAGTCAGACGGAGAAGGTGCCTGTGGCTTGAGAGTTTGAACTGCGCAGCGTTAGCTACAAAACCCTCCAGATACCCAAATGTCACTTTATTCTTCCCTCATGTTCGAGTTAAAATGATGACCATTGCAACAAGGCTTCCGTAGCGACTACACAGACTCCCTCGTACGCGGCGCCTGCCTCCGTTCCTCACTCCCTCCTTCCCCCAAACCCCCTCATCCATCCCTCCATCCCTCTCCCCTTTCAAGCCTATCTCCCAAACCCATTCTCAGGCGTACATCCAGCACACCCACTAATCTTCCCATTAATAACATTGAAAGTCCCGCCATCGCCCGTGTTGCAGCCAATAACATCCGCATCATTCGTCGTTGTGCAGAAAGTTCCCTTGGGGACTCTGACGCCTGGGTCGACCGGGCTGCCGGGTGCGGGACTGGATCCACGTTGTGGTGTTGGTGTTGCGATGACGGCGGCCACCAAGGCGAAAGCTGTGATGATAGAGGTTGAGCGCATGATGGTTGAGCGGGGATGGGTGTTTAGGTTGGGTTGGTGGGAGGGGGCAATGGTGGTGTGATGCGACTTCCGGAGTCGTTGTTGATGTGAAGAGACTAGAGGAGATGATAGTAGTGATGATACTTCTTCGCTGTGGATGAAGCGACTCTATATATGCAGTACACCCAGCCGTCACCCCCAGCTTCGTCTTCCAAACGTCGCATCACATTATCTCGCTAGTCCAAAGGTAGAAAAAACGATTACACGAACAAATCGCCATGTTTGGCATCATGTCCGTCGTCCGCTCTCCTTCTCACTTTGCGTGTTTCAGTCTACAATGTTTTAGGGTATAGAGACTTGGCTCTACTGAGCACAAGCACGTGTACATGTGGTAGCAGTGTAGATTAGGCTAATATCGGTGGAGTGATGCCGTATAGCCCCGTGTTGGTATTTCCCCGGGAGTAGCGCCGTGGTGAGAGCTGCCCAGCTCCCCCAGAACCTCCTCACAATGAAGAATAAGGTCATATTGCCGCAGTTTGGTTAAACCGGTACATACGACCATAGGATCATGAAAATTAGGCTTCCCGTCCGCTCAGCCATATACAAGCATGATACCGGCGGATTAGTAGTTAGGTGGGTGACCACTAGCGAATCCCCGCTGTTGTATGTTTTTGGCTTCTTTTTTGCTCTCTCTTTTTTGGTGACCTATTTTGGTGACCTATCTTGGAGAAGGCGCGGGTGTGGAGGTAGGAAAGGGGAAGAAGGGAAGGAGGGAGTGCGGGGGTTGATGGTGGCGTGGTCGCGTTTGAAAAGAGATATTCGGTGCAGTTTATCATGACTTCATTTTGTTCTCCAGACTGTCAGTGAGTTAATCCCACCGTGGTGAGACAAATGGTGGGATGGTGTTGGATGTGACTCTTCCCTCCCTTCTAGCTCACTTTCGTGGCATGCCAGTGGCCCGTATCACAATCTCTCACACCTATCGTCTTCATCCTCGTCTTCCGATGTGAAAGTCCAAACCCGGTCGCCTCGCAAGCAGCGCACTGAACGTATTAGCGTCCATATCGACAATTTCGGGACTCAATAGCAGCGAGCAGCGGAAGACTCACCCAGACGAGAACCCCTTCAAGGATCTTGACCAATGCTCAACTTGATAGACACATCCAGACCAACAGAAAAGCAGGTCTTGGTGCCGTAGATAGGGAGCAGAGAGAAACCGCCCCCGCAGTCGGGCTTGGGATAGGTGTTCACTGTTGACGTATCAGCACTTGTTTCTCCCATATCCTCATTCCTCCCACCTTCCACAGCGGTCCACGAGCCAACAAAAGACTTACGAGCGTTATACTTGATATCCCCATCCTTGCCCACAACCCTAATGCTCTTCACCCCATCAGAAAGCCCATAGCAGACATTTGGATCAATCCAGAGGAATTCGTAGGCGCCGCCGCATTCGGCTTCTTTGAAGGTTTGGGCGCGGACTTGGGTTTGGACGCTGGGGTCTGCGGTGGTGGTGGGAGTGGGTACGGGCGTGGGGCTGGTCGCGGCGCTTCCCAAGAGGGCGCATAGGAGAATAGTGGTGAGCATGGCGGCGAATATGTTGGTGGGGAGATTTTTGGCGGTGATTGACGGGTTGAGATCGTGGGTACGAGCGGGGAAGGTGGAGTTGGTGTGGTGTGTGAGACGGTTTGGTGTAGTGGGTGTGGGTGGACGGAGTGAGTGATTGATGTGCGTGCGATGGTCTGGTTTGGTGGGTGAGTGAAGTAAGAGTGAGTGAGTGCGTCTGGTTTGTTCTGCTTGAACAACCCGAAAAGCATGGAGTGAAGAAGTCAGGAGCGAAGGGCAAGCGAGCTGTTTATAACGCTCGCTCCTACCGTTCTCGAAAGCTGAGAGAGGTACGTGATTATCTGACGCAAACGCGCTGAGGCCGAAGGACTCGTGGAAGCGGGGCCCGACCGCGCGTCCTTAGGTGAAGGCACTCGGTGAGGCAGTCGCGGTCCTAATTGCGGGGTCAAGATCGTGGGGAAGTCGCGATTGCAGTGATTGCGGAGAAGGCGTGGTTGGTTGGTACTCAAGGTACAAACGCACGATAGAGGGGGATGTGGATCACTGGCGTTGTGGTAATTGGAGTGACGACAATCAGAGGCATGGGTTTACTGAGAGATTAAGAGAGATTTGTCTAGCCGGTGGCGGTGAAGGTGATGTTGAAGGAAGGGAGTGGGGAAGAGATGAAGTGAGGTGAGTGGGGAGATTTGGTCACAGTCACACAGTGGAGGGATTGTGTGTACCAGACGGGTAGCGGCAGAGACACTGAGCAATGGGGAGTAGGACAACCAGAAAGATGTTGCACGAAAGTGCTGGATCAATCAACCTCTCCGGAGCTGTAAGTTGAGCACTGTGGTTTGGGTATGGAGGCAGGTTTGATGAGTGAAATGATGCTCGTGGTGAGTACGATGGGCGTGAACGCTGTACATACGACGAAATGCGCAGAGACGGAGCGCTGGTTTTGCATGGTCAGCTTGTAGAGTCAGTGACGGAACGTTTGGAGGAGTAAAGTTGCGCCCAGCTTCTTCATCAACGGAGCACACTCCACACATTCTGGTGTCCAACACAACTCATAAACATCGTGTATTGAACAATAGAGAGTTAAACTCCCTAGAAAGATGGTATCCTCGCTTCCAAATGCAATCATGACCATACCCACCTTTAGAACACTTCACTCTCCGACGACTCAGCAGACTGCGCAGTAACGACTCGATTGGGCTCAGAGACAAACACAAAAGAGCCTGAAAGGCCGGCAATGGGCTCCGCAAACGGTGTATACTTCACAGGCTTTGCGGATATGAGGGTTTTGGAAGGTCCAGTACTTTCAGCGCGCTCTGTAGGTTTGTCGAGCCCGCAGATCGAAGAGTCTTCGAATGCTTGGCCGCTTCCAATAACATGTGCGCAGCGGAAATGATGTTGTCAAGCTGCACGTCTGAACTGGCTGTCGAAGCATCAGAAAGAGTACTGACGCTCGGCTAGAACGTCTCCTCCTCCGCACCCTCGCCCTCAGCCTCTGGTGGGATCTCGAAGCCCTCTTCGGTGGAGTAGAGAATGTTTTGGATCTGCTTGAGCAGCCCCTCGTCCTTCTCGAGCTCAGGGTCGGCCTCCATTGCTTGCTGGATCAGCAGTTCGATATCGCGCAGCTTGCTGAAGTAAAAGTCCCTCTCGCGCTCGAGGCCCGTGACAGTCTCCTTGAGAGCACTGTTCTCCTCGCGCAGAGCGGCGCTGGCGGCACCTCCCCCAGAGGCAAGCGGTGTGCGTGTCCTAGGCGCAGCCGTGTTGCTAGCAGCTGGTGCTCTTCGGGCAGTCGATGCTGCGGCGCGGGGTGCAGGTGTGGCTCCGGTCGCGACACCGCCCTGACCCTTGCGACGGGCGACGGGGTCGTACTCGTGGCCGGGAAAGTGCTGGTCCCAGTACTGCTTGACGAATTGGAGGAACTCGAGGTTGTCCTGCATCTTGCACTTTACGAGCGACTCGACGCGGATGGGCTTGTCGACATGGTGCTTGGCGAACGTGTCTGGATTATTAGCGGAGAATTTGGACTGTGAGAAGGGAGACGTACTCTGTAATACCTTGAAATTCTGCAGGTATGCGTACTCAGTGTTCGCATTGAACTTGACTCGCGACATGGGCACATCGTCTGCACGCTGTTAGTCTTAATCTCATCCGCGCCTAGGTGAGGTGGAGGACTTACAGAATATGCTGTCGAAGACTTGGCACAGCGCTGCTCTGTCCGCCATGTCAGTACACGTCCTTACTCCTCAAGGCCAGGGGTGCCCCTCTATCCTCGGCGCGCGTAACGTACCCGGTACCGCATTGTTCGACTTTGGTGATGTTGAGCTGGAGGAGGTTGTTCAACCAGGCGACGAGTTCTTGTCTGTTCACGTGGCGCTGTCAGTGTGTGGTCGTGGTGAAGGTGTCTGCGCAGATGGCCGCAGCCTAACCCCTCGGGCCCGGTGCCTACCTTGATTCTCCCATGGCGGCTATCTATGTGCAGGCGTCTAAGGGTTTGTTTTGGGCGATCAGCGACGAGATAAAAGCATGCAGCCCGAAGTATCCGTGGTGAAGGGGTGGCGTTGCAGGCGGTGGGCGTGAGTGCTGTTATTTGTTGATGCGCCTTCGAGTCGGGGAGTTGACAATTTGGGCGCCGCTGCCCCACGCTGGAGATTTTAGCGTCAGGTCATGGCGCTAGCGTCACGTGCAATCGTCTCGCCTGGTCGCGGTTGCCCTACGAAGCATCCAGAACTAGATTTCATCATGCATTCATGGATGGTAGTTCCATGATGCGGTTTGACTACACAGGCTTACACCTTGCTGTCCTCTGACATTGTCACTATCTACCCAACAAACTCCCTCTCAACCATACCAACTGCTGTGCCCCTATCCGCCCTCACCGCTTCAAAAGCCTTGACAACCGCTGGGAACCACACATCTGCCATCTTGACATCTCCACTATCATTCGGATGTATTCCATCCCTCAAATCCGCCGTCCCACTGAACCCGGTATACTGGTCCACAACCCAGATGGGGCTTTCCGTTGTATTGAGACCCTGAGCCCAAGGAACGATTGCGCGATTCAGGTCTTGGATCTTGGTGTTGTAGCTGCCGAAACCCATGGGGATGATTTGCGCAACCTAGGATGGCAGAGTGAGTAAGCGATTGGTATACAATGAGGCGACAGCGCTTGTACAACAGCGCTTGTACAACAGCGCACCTTACTCAGGTACACAGGCAAGTATCAAAAAGAACAGACTCACCACAATCTTCATCCTCGGATTCGCCCCCCTCATACTCCCCACCAACGTCCCAAACGCCTTAACAATATCCGCCACCGCCTTATTCTGCTGCACAATATCATTCGTGCCAAGATGCATCGTAATCACATCCGCGGGATTACTTTTCAACCACCCATCCAACTGCCCTTTATTCGCGATATCGATAGCGAGGAAACCAGAGTGGCCTTCGTTGTCGCGGTCGTAGGACGTGTCCGCGCAGTTGTTCTCGGTTTTGCCGCTGCCGACAAAGTTTACGGTGGAGGAGTTGAAGGGTGTGGTTTGCAGGCGTTGCCAGAGTTTGGAGCGCCAGCAGATTATTTCGGTTATGGAGTCGCCGAAGGGCATGTAGCGGATTGGGGGGTTGGTGGTTTGGGCGGATGCGAACGTGAGGAGGGTGGTGAGGGAGAGGAAGGTGGGGAGCAACATCGTGGTGGTTGTGATGCTATAGAGGTGCGTGTGTATCTGCGCGAAGCTGTGTTTATAATCCAGTTACATGTTGGCATGGGGGACGAAGAGCTGGTCGTTTTATGTTGTCTTGATGCTGTTTACCTGGCGACACCCCATCTGTTGCACTCTCTGCCATAATTCAGGCCATATGAACATGACGCTTGGAGTACTCTAGACACATATGAGGATCTCGGAGCGAAGGGAGTTTCGAACGATGAGGGCGCCATCTGGTGTGACTAGGTGTTACTATACCGAAGGCTAAATGCAGCTGCCGGGTGATCGCTAATATACGCAGAATATGCACGCTCGGAGAAAAGGCAAGAATGCGGGGAAGATATGGCAGACTGCCCAGTACGCAGCGGACACATCAGATGTATCGTTGGGGTGGTCTTTGGTGTTTAGACGTTATGCGATCTCCTCGAGCGGCTTTGACTTCCGGCAGTCACTTAATAAGTTCGAATTGAAAGTCAATAGCACGTGCGGAAGTTACTCCGAAACTCAAAGGCGCTGGTCTAGAAATATAGCTACCCGCTAACCCTGATGCTAACACGGACGAAATGTCAAAACTGAAGAAGTAGGTACATGCGATGACATGAAGAGATGGTCAAAGCATAACGCTCGAACCTCGACGGAAGGAGAACTACTCACCGCCTCTAGCCGTCTCGTAAAACCACGTGGCTGAGGATGGTGCTCAGAAGGAGAAGGTGGAGTGCTCAATGAACAAATACGACCGTGGCGTAGATGAAGACACGCCGTCACGCCGAGCGATTTACGACGACATATGGAGATGTGTCTCTCTTAGTCAACAATGACTAAAGAAGTCTCCATCATGACTGTACAGTACCTCCATCACGGTGGGAGAGGAAATGAGCTACTTACCACACGCTTCCACCAATTACAGCCTCGATATAATTTGCCAACTTCCTCATTGGGAGGCATACCTCAATTTCTCCGCCTGCTTCACTCCAAATACACTCTAGACATGAGGCGCAGCAATCTGTGAATTTGGAATCGCAGGCATCGTATGATGCTCATTGCTCGCTACCGCTGCCGCCGGATGTTACTCCTTAGCGGACGGTAATACCCCAGATTTCTGCTCGGCCCTTTCCCGACCGACATACGCTGTCGGGGTATTGATTGGTCGATTGGACAAGAAACTTGGAAGTGGCAGTGCAAAGAGGTAGCACGTGATTGCTGCGAAATTGTGTTGTGACTGGGAAAGGGCCGTTGTCGGTGCGCAAAGAGGAAAACAACCGAATGGAAAAACACACTGATCGTGAAATGGACGCGAGAAGAGAGACGTGCACAAGAGCACAAACTGCGAGAAGACGGCGAGGAGCGCGGAGGTGAGACGAGTGATGTGAAAGATTGGGGCGGTGGGTGCTGACTTCGTGCGACAACTCACTATCGGCCCTCACACTTAACTCCGAAGGCTCTCGCGATCGAGCAACCCCGCAACAAGATGTCGATAACTCATCATCGACGTATGCTGAGAGAAAGCAGCTAGCTTGGCATTGTGATGCCTCGGTGATTCCCAGCAGAAGACGCCGATGGTGTTGATTTTACTTCCTGGAATCCAAGGTTTCGCGCTCCGAGCTGTCGCGCTCCGAGCTGACGCGGTCCTTCAGGGCTGAGGCTGCCACGCTTGCAAGCCACCAGCCTGCGCCTATCGAGACATGAACGGCGCCACGTGAAACCGACCGGACTTCATGCAGCTGCAGTGCGATGGTCCCAAAGTAGAAGGCAATTCCATGCAGTGGTAATTATGTCGCGTATACACCGTAATATGAGGAACAGGCCGAATCTCCGATGGGGAATTCGACTAGGCCGATGGCCGAGGGCTGACGGTGACGAGCACAGCCTGGACAGCATGCTCCTGTAAGAGTGTGCCCAGCTCGAGGATGAAGTCATGGGAGTCTGGATCTCGACGCATGTTGCTGACATGTCTTGGAATTGCGGTCGCTGGAATTGGGTGTTGGGAGATCCAAGGCGAGGGACGTGCGGGACAGGAGGGCCCACAAGAGCGGGCACCAAGACCGCGACCGTCGAGACCACACCTGTTCCCAACCTTACGTGAACTGACATGCCCGCCGTTCTCAGCGTGCCCCCGCGCCGGGACATTACTTTTGCAAAATAGCTGGCGGCTGATTCGTCCGGATGCAACTTACTTGTTTGGCCCTGCACATAGCCACCACGACGCGTCCAGCCAAGCCGCGCCGAACGTTGAGTCCGCTGGCCCTCACTGGTACCACCTCTCTGCGCCAGACCCTGCACCATGTACAGGCGGGAGATCTCACTTGTTATCGCGGCCCTCTGGCGTTCGTGACGCGTACCGCTTGCACAAGTTGTGTTGTCATATCGCGAGGTCCTCACGGTGTTTTGCTATGCCCAGCCGGTGACTGACGGCTCTCCGCAAAGCCGCCGCATTCGGCCAGGCTTGTCCAACCACACATCAGCAGTAATACCGTTGGGTTCACCTGTGCCTGCGAGGTACCTACCTCCACCAAACTAAGCCAGGTTGTGTGTACGTAGCCATGCTTCTGTCAGCATCTATCTTGGGGGCTTGGAGGTGTATCTTGGAAGGCGGGTGATCCGGGCTCCACCATCTATAAACCTCTTTGTCCACCGCTGCCAAATCATCATCGAACTGGAAATCCCTTACTCACCTCAAGACATCTTCTCCTATTGGTTTGGCTACTTGAACTCTGATCAATAGCCTTGTGATCGACTCTAGACACGACGCCATCAAGCCACGCTTTCAGCTAGGCGCTGTCGACTAGCCTTGGAACATCGAGCCCTTTGGCAACCTCGAGTATTCGGCCTTCCTTCAACGACCTTTCAGAACAAAAGAAATGAAGCGCGCAACAAGTTCGGTCATTGGCCTATTGGCTCTGGGTAAGCCCCCAACAACAGCCTTACCACATCACATTGCTAACCTCATTCAGCCTCACAAGCCACAGCGCAAGTAGCCAGCGTCTGCCCCTCTACAGGAGTCTGCTATGGTCTCAACATTCCCGAGCGCACAGCATCATCTGGATCAGGAGACATCTTCTTCCAGATATCGGCCCCAAGCAACTATGAGTGGGTTGCGCTCGGCCAAGGCAATGGCATGGCCAACTCCAACATCTTCGTCGTGTACACTTCAGGATCTGGCAACAATGTCACACTGTCGCCAAGAAGAACTACCAGCTACCAGCCTCCCAGCCCTAACGATGATGCTCAAGTCACTCTCCTCGAAGGCTCTGGTGTTTCGAACGGTGTCATGACCGCGAACGTGAGATGTAAGAACGGTAACCACCACCACATAAACACAGGCTAACACGTGATGTAGGCTCAAACTGCAACTCATGGTCCGGCGGCACCATGGACTTCACCAAAGGCAGTGGAAACTGGATCTTCGCCTACCAATCATCTGGCGGACCCAAGAACGACGACTCCACGTCTGCGCAAATCAACCAGCACTCCAACCAGGGTGTCTTCGACTGGAAGTTCGCTCAAGCAAAGGGTGGTTCAAGTGT